CACACCTTCACACACACACACACACCTTCACACACACACACACACTTTCACACACACCTTCACACACACCTTCACACACACCTTCACACACACCTTCACACACACACACCTTCACACACACCTACACACACACACACACCTTCACACACACCTTCGCACACACCTTCACACACACCTTCACACACACCTTCACACACCTTCACACACACACACAACACGCGGCATTCTGCGTGGCAGGCGTGGCACTTGGTGACATTCACTTTCGTTTCGCGTGGCAGGCGTGGCACAATCTCACATCTACTGTCGTTTTGCGTGGCAGGCGCGGCACTCATCGCACTGGGTGGCGCCCTTGGGCCCGGTTTAGGCGCGCCCTGGTCGCGCGTGACGCCGCGGCACTGTGCGTGGCAGGCGTGGCACAATCGCACATCCATGGTCGTTTTGCGTGGCAGGCGCCTCACTCATGGCACTGGGTGGCGCCCTTGGGCCCGGTTTAGGCGCGCCCTGGTCGCGCGTGACGCCGCGGCACTGTGCGTGGCAGGCGTGGCACAATCGCACATCTATGGTCGTTTTGCGTGGCAGGCGCCTCACTCATGGCACTGGGTGGCGCCCTTGGGCCCGGTTTAGGCGCGCCGTGGTCGCGCGTGACGCCGCGGCACTGTGCGTGGCAGGCGTGGCACTCGGTGACATCCACTTTCGTTTCACGTGGCAGGCGTGGCACAATCTCACATCCACAAGCGTTTTGCGTGGCAGGCGTGGCACAACCTCACATCCACCATCGTTTCACGTGGCAGGCGTGGCACAATCTCGCATCCACAAGCGTTTTGCGTGGCAGGCGTGGCATTCATGGCACTGGGTGGCGCGCTTGGGTCTGGTTTAGGCGCGCCCTGGTAGCCTGGCAGGCGTGGCACTTGGTTACATCCACTTTCGTTTCACGTGGCAGGCGTGGCACAATCTCACATCCACAAGCGTTTTGCGTGGTAGGCTTGCGTGGTAGGCGTGGCATACAATAACTTCACACATAACTTCACACACACACACACTCACACAAACACCCTCACATACACTAACTTCACACACACAAACTTAACACACACTCACACACACACACAACTTTGTCACACATACAACTGCCTGCCCTTCACATAAGTTTGTCACATACCATCTCTCACATACACTAACTTCACACACACAAACTTAACACACACACACACACTCACACACACACACACAACTTTGTCACTCACATAAGCATGTTTACCGAGCTGCGTCTCCGGCCTGTTTTGGTATCAAATGCGTGTTTCGTTTGCAGACATGTTTACCTAGCTGCGTCTCCGGCCTGTTTTGGTATCAAATGGCGTGAAGTTTTTTGTATGCAGAGTCTCTTGTTTGCTTTCTGACATGTTTGCTTTGGTGATGTTGGCCCAACGTGGAAAGAGGTCACAGAAGCAGACATTGCAGCGCATAGTGTTACCACCACTACAAGCACAATTACAACAACTAGTCAGTCATGTTAGATTGGTTCTTTCCATTGGTTTTCTGAAGCTATGGCGGTGCAACAACTTGCTATATAATGGTTGGCGTGCTCGCCGCAAGAAACGACCGCTCAGTGCGACGCTTGCCTGTTTTGGTATGTTTGCTTTCTGACATGTTTAATAGTTCCCCACAACTTTGTGTTGGGTTCTTGTTTTTGATTCTGTATCCCGGGCTCCTTCTCCTCCGCCTCCCGCCGCCTCTCTTCACACACACTCACACACACAACTTTGTCACACTTCACATACAATAACCTCACACACACTCACACACACAACTTTGTCACATAGCATCTCTCACATACAATAACTTCACACACGCTCACACACACAATTTTGTCACATAGCATCTCTGACATACAATAACTTCACACACCGAAACTTAACATACAATAATGTCACACACACTCACACACTCACAACTTTGTCACATAGCATCTCTCACATACAATAACATCACATGCAATAACTTCATACACACTCACAACTTTGTCACATGGCATCTCTCACATACAATAACTTCACATACAATAACTTCACACACAAAGCATCTCTCACATACAATAACTTCACATACAATAACTTCACACACAATAACTTCACACACACTCACACACACAACTTTGTCACATAGCATCTCTCACATACAATAACTTCACACACACACTCACACACACAATTTTGTCACATAGCATCTCTGACATACAATAACTTCACACACAGAAACTTAACATACAATAATGTCACGCGTGGCACAATCTCACATCTACTGTCGTTTTGCGTGGCAGGCGTGGCACTTATGGTACTGGGTGGCGCCCTTGGGCCGGGATTTGTCGCCTGTGACGCCCGGGGCGCCGCGCCACTTTGCGTGGCAGGCGTGGCACTTGGTGACATCCACCTTGATATCACGTGGCAGGCTTGGCACAATCTCACATCTACCATCGTTTTGCGTGGCAGGCGTGGCACTTATGGTACTGGGTGGCGCCCTTGGGCCGGGATTTGTCGCCTGTGACGCCCGGGGCGCCGCGCCACTTTGCGTGGCAGGCGTGGCACTTGGTGACATCCACCTTGATATCACGTGGCAGGCGTGGCACAATCTCACATCTACTGTTGTTTTGCGTGGCAGGCGTGGCACTTATGGTACTGGGTGGCGCCCTTGGGCCGGGATTTGTCGCCTGTGACGCCTGGGGCGCCACGCCACTTTGCGTGGCAGGCGTGGCACTTGGTGACATGCACCTTGATATCACGTGGCAGGCGTGGCACAATCTCACATCTACCGTCGTTTTGCGTGGCATGCGTGGCACTTATGGTACTGGGTGGCGCCCTTGGGCCGGGATTTGTCGCCTGTGACGCCCGGGGCGCCGCGCCACTTTGCGTGGCAGGCGTGGCACTTGGTGACATCCACCTTGATATCACGTGGCAGGTGTGGCACAATCTCACATCTACCGTCGTTTTGCGTGGCAGGCGTGGCACTTATGGTACTGGGTGGCACCCTTGGGCCGGGATTTGTCGCCTGTGACGCCCGGGGCGCCGCGCCACTTTGCGTGGCAGGCGTGGCTGGGATTTGTCGCCTGTGACGCCTGGGGCGCCGCGCCACTTTGCGTAGCAGGCGTGGCACTTGGTGACATGCACCTTGATATCACGTGGCAGGCGTGGCACAATCTCACATCTACCGTCGTTTTGCGTGGCAGGCGTGGCACTTATGGTACTGGGTGGCGCCCTTGGGCCGGGATTTGTCGCCTGTGTCGCAAGAAGATGCTGCCTGATGTCAGCATTCCGAGGCTTCGCATTGTTGATTGATGTTTGTTCGCAGACGAGGGAATGTACCACAAACTGTGATATGTTGCAGACGAAAGTTGATTGATGCCTGTCTGACATATGATTTAAACTGTCTGTGTCTGGTCTGTTTGAAATGACATATTGCAAACTTCTGTCCGTTTGCTGCAAGCGGAGGTACCTATTCGATTGCTTGCATGGACAGAGAGAAGCGTGTGTGGCACGGCGGCCCAGTGAAGTTTTTGGATCGGAAGCTTTGGAAGATTCACGCTTAAATGTTAGTAATTGGCTTTGGCTTTATACGTGTTCTGCA